CTGGTGGTGAACCTGGCTTATTGCCCTATCACCCCACCAGCTTGCAGCTGCTAAGTGGTAAAACGTCTTTGGCCTGTGTTTGAGCAGCTGTGGTACAAGTTGTTTTCTGCTTGCTTTTGTTTGCTTTTTAGTGTGGACACATCAAAGCAAGCAGAGCTTATGGAGGTGCTGAAGAAGGAGGTGAGATCGCTGCTAATGGCTGCCAAAGAGGGCTTAACCCCAGCACAACTGGAGCAGGAGTACGTGACCATGATTGGCAAACCTCTCCCTCTACGTGACCTGGGCTTCCAGTCTACCTTGGAGCTGGTAGCAGATATGCCTGAGGTTGTCAGAGTCTGTCCTTATGAGAAAGGCACTTTTATCCTCAAAGGTGAGGTTTTGTTTCCTTACAGGTGGAGGAGTTGTTTGGAACCGCATACTGGTATGAAGGGATGCTCCAAAACAGGGATGTGCAGGATGAGTTCCCTGAGCTGTAGGTCATATATATCTGTTATTCTTTTTCTCGTATGGCTCAGTTTAATTTCTTGTCCCTGGTGTTTCTTCCTGTATTTTGATCTGCCTTTTAATGCGTTTTCCTCCTGAAAAACTCATACAAGGTTACAGTTATTTTTGTGCATTTTGCATTCTGTACTTAGTTTAGAAGCGGCAGTAACATTTCTTGTGGGTACACTAGGACTGGGTAAGCTTCACTTTTCCTGTAAATGGAGACTACAGCAGGAGCCAAAACCAGGGATGAGGCCTTTCAGGAGAAGCTGTAAACGTTTCCCTACCTGACCCCATGGAAATTTTAGGCTATGTCAAAGAGCCTTTTTCATTTTCCTTTTCTTTGGGGAAGAGCTGTGGAAACAAATAGTAGGTGCAAAGAGTTGACTGTGGGAAGGGTTAAATGATTTATTTTTAAATTTTTTTAGAGTGTTACAGTAAGACAAGAAAAAGTTGTTTAAAAGCATGCCATGGAAAAGACCTGGGCTGCTCTCCAGGGAGACCTTGCCTGAGCGGGTGGGTGCTCTGTAGTGGGGCTTTACTCTGATTCTGGCTCAGGGGGGCAATGGACCGTTTACTGTTTTCCCAACAAAACTTGCAGCAGCTGGGTTTCCTGTTGTGATTCTGTAGCCAAGAATTTGACCCACCTTCCTACCTGAATCTGGATTTATAAGGATGAGGGTACAGTTCGGTTGTTGGCTGTTAAAAATGGTTCAGTCCACTTTGCAAAGGGAGAGGAAAAGTTGTTGCCCTGCTGGAAATCAGACAAGTTTTAGTGTGATTGCTTTTGAAAAGAGTCACCTGCTTCTGAAAAGGGTTTGGGGAAAAGGAAAGAAAGGAAAGAAGAGGAGCTTTGCTTGTGTAGAGTTTTTAATGGTTTGCTGTTTTGGTAGTCTAATAGTTTATTTCTTTTTGTTGTAGCAGTTGCAGATGAGACCACCAAAGCGATTGCCAAACTGGTTGCCAGACAGAGGAGAAGTGCCAGGGCACGGAAGAGTGCTGCTGTGAAGGCAGATGCTGCTGCTCCCTCTAAGAATCCACAGAGTTTCCCTGGGAGGGGCAGGGCTCCCATCCTGCCAGCAACCGTGAAGGCTGAGCTGCAGGATCTGCTGAGTTCCTCACCACTTCTGCTGTTGGACTTTGATAAGGCCTTCTTCAGACGCTTTGGCCGGGCGTTCCAGTACACGCAATACGGATTTTTCTCCATGTTTGAAGTCCTTAGAAGCGTGTCTGATGTCATTGTGGTTGAGCAGACAAGAGCAGGTTCCTTGCTGACCCTGAAGAAGTACCGGGCAAGTGAGATAGAGAAGGAAGAGATGCCGCAAGGTGAGGTGTGTTAACTGAAAGCATATAGCTCTCGCAAGCGCTGTGGCCAAGCAACTGTGTTTCAAGTGGATGTTGCTGCATTTCCAATTGCTGTAATAGTCCCAGTTCCCCTAGGTTTTAGCACAGAAGGACTGTGGGGTGCTGCAGAAGCAGCTGTCACAAGGGAGTTGTGTTGGTAGCAGAGAGCTTAACTGGAAGTTTTCTACAGGTTGCCACCATTTTTTGGTGTGGGGTGAAAGAAGGGATGTTTAGCCCGTTCAGAATATGGATTTGCTGAACGTGTGTGTAGGAGTGGAATATCTAGTCATTCCAGGCAATAGATAACACAAAACTAGAAGGATCTCCTGAACATCTGCTCCACAGGCTGGTTAAGCCTTTCCAATGCACTTTTTGAGACTGAAGGTTTAGCACTAGTCTGAAAGGCACAGGTATAATGTTCCACAAAAGAAAACAGGAGACCACAGATGTCCTCAGCGTTCCTGTAACAGCTATGAGTGAAGGCAGAAAATCACATACAGTTCCTGCCAAATTCCTGACTTTTCTGGGGAAAATTCATTTTAGCATCTTTCTAGCCATTGATTTAACCCTTAGCATGCTTACAAGAGCAAGTGTGTTTTGGTTTAATTTATTTATACAGTGAAGGATGCCTTTCAAGTGAATCCTCATGACTGCAGTGGCTGTGAATACTAAAAGAGATGAGGAAAACGTCACTAATACTTCCACACTTTCATTTTCAGATGTCTTCTCTTTCTACTTAATACGTAAATAAAGAATAACAGCCAAATTGTCTTTACAGCAGCACCTGCAGTTGAGATGCCTCCTTTGGAACCCAGCTGTGAGACAGAGAGCTTCCACCTGACAGCAGAAGAGAAGTCAGAGCCAGTGGAAACACAAGCAGTAGATTTGGGTGATGGCCTCAAACAAGTAAGTGGCTGGATCAGTGATCTGTAGCTTTTTCAAGTCTTAATCGAGGTGGCAATAATCTTTTTATTGCTTTTGTTTCTTTTGACTTTGTATTGTTGATGCACTGCTGCTTCCAAAAATTTTTGTACCTGTTTTAGATGAGTCTGGAGGTGACCAGACTCATACTGACCTGGTATATAGCTTTATATGCCATCCAACCTAGGTCTTTTTCTTGTCTCTTTCTGGTTTTGAGACCTGTGTTACAGGTCATCTGAAGTCAGTTAGGCATCACCTTGCTCCCTGATAATAGTGGTGATACCTTTTGGTGTACTTGCTTGTAACTGGACTTTAATAACTTTGTTCTGAGACTAGCTGTGTGGAATTTCCTCTGCTGCAGTAGGCAGGGCTTAAGTGTCAAGCAGCTGTAGGACAGAGCTGGGGAATAGTCCTCGGAGACCTTGATTCCCGCAGTCTCAACTCTGCTATTCAGTTGGACTTTGAAAATTTTGATTTTTTTGTTTAGCAGTGTATTTTTA